CATACAGGAAGCTGGAGGGGGAGAATGGAATGGCTACATACAAACAGTCAAAAACAGAAAAACAGATAACGGAGGCTGGCGAGGACAAACTGGAGCCAGCAAGAACAGAAAAAGAGATTAGCTGGCCAACAAACGGATATGCAGCTGTCTTAAGCTTATGCGCATTGAACTTGGCACATGCTGCGCGTGGCCTTATCTGCCGTGCAGATCGCAAACCAGCACCCAGGAACGTCAAGGTACTTCATACCTTTAAGTATTCAAGCGTAAGCGGGCAAAACACCAAACCACCGTAGACGATGTATCGTGCGGCGCGCCCCCACTGATGTTTGGGGATTAAACAATGCTCCGTCTCGAGCGGTACCTGCAGCCGAATGCAGTTGCACAAACGCCTACCCTTTTCCCGCGTATACACCGCAGAGCCACATGCATCATGGGCAAGCATTTCACGGATGCATACGCCTCAGCAGTATTGACATGAGTACAACTGTTGCTTCGATGCTACACAACAGGGTTATGCACTGAAACCTATTTAGAATGCAAGCCCTGTAGAGCGCAGAGCTCTCTAAAATGTCTTTCATTAAATATTGGATTCGCAGAGCGAATCCAATATTTAATGAAAGACATCACCGTGCATCCATGCAAGAAGCACTTGTGGGAGTTCAGCTTCTAACCAGAGTTAACAGTCTATGACGTCCACAAAAGTTACGAATGCGCGACCGCTTCAGAAAAGCTGGGGATACACTGCAGATGTGCAATCTAGGCTTTGAGAGTTACCAAGACATTCTGCACTTTCTCGTTCCTCAGGACGGTTAGAGACAGGGTCTCGCCCATGAACTTCTCCGAGATGACGTGGGATACGCTAACGCGTTCCATGCCTCTGCAAGCAAAACTCAAACCCTCAACAACAATCCCTAAAATAATGCCCCTTACCATGAATCCTCAGGACAAACACAATGGGGTGGGTCTGCATCTCAGCACTACCAAGAGCAACGTAGTGCACGCGCTCCTGCTCCCCACACAAATCGCGGGCCAAACGCATCTGCAGCAGCACGTAAGCCAGTAAGATGCTGCCCCATCAGCAGCTACGGGTGTTGCATGAGTGCGACGAGACTCCTAACCAGAAAAAGCACAATGGACTGCATCGTCGACGAGCGGTGCGCAGACCTATAATGAGACGAGAGGCAAAATCCTACCTGAAATGAACTGTACCATCTCCAGCCACATCGGCGCCATCAACAGCCATCACTACGTCTTCCGGTCGCAAACCGATTCGTTGTTCAAGTATTTCGTGCAGCAGCGCCTTGCGTTCGGCTGCTGATGGTGGAGGTTTGCCTGCAGCAGCGGCCGCTGCGGCTGCTGCGTCAACTTCTGCTATTGCCTCCCTCGCAACAACGGAAGGATCGGCTAGAGGGCCATCGCCCGCGCTCGACAGCTCAGTTGCTGGCCCTCCAAGAACCTCGTCGGCTTCCACTGGAGCTGCTACTTCCGCTGGTCTTGCAGCTGCAGCGGTGTCTGGCTCTGCTGCAGTGGCTTCTTTCCCAGTTGATTCTGCGGTTGCTCCCCCCGCTTCAAGTAAGTCTGCAGCTGCTTTTGCGCGCTCAAGGAAGTTGCGAGAGCGCACCGAGTCGGTTGCTGTAACAAGGATGCCACTTGCACTGACACCTGCGGCAGCAGCAGCAGCAGCAACACCGGCAGTGACTGCATTGTCGCTCTCCGATGGCG